TTTCAAGGGATCTTCAGTCTAAGCTTCCGTCAGTTGTCATCAACAGCTTTTCCTGCGCGCTCTTGCCTTAAGACGGGGTGAGGGTTGCATGGGCGCTGGCCGGCACCTCAGTCCGTGCTGAAAGGGTTTAAAGTGGAAAGCCTGTTGCAAAAAAAGGTTCAGGAAACCCTTTGTGCGGAGCACGTGTGTGGCCGACTTTCCCAGCTGATGATCAGAGCCTGGGTTCAAAAAAAAGGGTTCAGGGTTTAGGGCTCTTATACTAGATTGTACTGCAATAAAGTATGATCAGTGAATATGCTATACGTAGAATCTAGTAATACTAGTGGTGCTTTTGGGCATCTGTTGGGGGATGAGGATTACGTTTTCTGGATGTTGGGTGAAGTAGCACGCTGCAGTATCCGATTGCCGAGTCGACAACAGACAGCGAAGGACAGTTCTCTAAAGTATTGATAGTACAGGCTGATCAAGTACTTACCAATTCCCTCTGCTTGTTAGGGAAATCTTGGTCTGGGAACCCGCTTCGCTGCCTTCGAGATCCTTCGAGGATTTCAGCGTATGCCCTCCTTGACGGGACACTGCAGACTGCAGACCTTGGCTTGCCCGAAGACTTTGAGTGTTTGGAGTCTCTGGGTAAACTGCCTGGGTCTCTTTTTCGGGACGGCCGAGGCCCAGTAGCTGCGGAAGCAGCACGGCACTCAGAAGTTAGAGGCTTCGTATAGTGAGGGCACAGTCAGATACCTAGTCCCTGCTGCTGCCTACTGCATCAAAGAGGGCCTCAAGGTAGCCATCGATCGTTTGCCGCTATGCTCCGCAGCCTGCTGCGCCGGAGCATTGATGTCAGCATCTCCGAGCACCGGGTGGCGACGTTGACCATGAGCCGAGCGCCGGTCAACGCATTCAACAAGGCGTTCCTGAACCGCATCATATGATCTGGGGCTTAATGAATGATTTGACGAGCACATGTAGGTCATGTAACTGGTCATGCTGGTTGCCTTCCCGTCATGTTGATTTCAGGTTGCTGCAGACCCTCCGCGCTGCTCTTCAGGATGTCCAGCACGAAGCCAAGGCGCGAACCCACAAAATTCTTGTAGTCATGTCGCGGATTTTGTTGACTTCAGGCGGTTGTCTTGACAAGCGATCTGAAGTGCTTCTGCGGTGGTTTAGACCTGACTACCTTCACACAACCGCGAGCAGAGTCACCGGCTCAGTTGCAAGCACGGGCATCCTCTTGAGTCTTGGCAGAGGCGTAGAGGGCGCGATAGGGTATGGTCGAAATCGAACAGGACCAGTGTTACCTGCGACAGGGATCTCTTGTGCTTCAGGCAGGTTGAGCAGTTCACAAATGACTGGCCAGCTGGCTGAGGCTGTCTAGTTTCTGGACTGAGATGGAGGAGACGTGGCGATCTCTGTACATGTATCCCTTGCCTACAGTTGCGGCCATCAACGGCTCCAGCCCAGCTTGGGGCCCCTGGGCCCAATTTCCTTTTGCTTCCAAAGAATAAATGGGACTACGCCGATGAGGAGACCCTCTCCCTGAGCAAGCTTTGAAGGTCCTAGTGATCTTAGTGATAAGCCTGGTTGTGAGAGTTTGCTTTCGAGTATAAAGCTATCCAAGGCCATCCTACAAACCTCGCAACCCGTTCAGGTTGCGTGATGGCCCTCAGCTGCGATCACCGGATCATGGTCTCCAGTGACCGCGCCATCATCGGCTTGAACGAGGCTGCCATAGGACCGTGGCTTAATTCAGCGGGTCTGGGCTTAGGGGCTGGGCTTTTACAAGCAAGAACTTTAGTACTTTAGGGCTTAAGTTAAGGGCTATGTCTTTGAGGTGGTCCCTGCGAGTTTTTCCAGCAGGGCCATGAGAGCTGAACCTCTGCGTGCTCAGACAAGCCTTTGTACTCTTCGGTTCAGAAGCAGCTCCAGAGAAGATGTGCAGGAGTGCAGCCCTCACGGTGGATGCAGGTCGGATCTATCATACGACGTTGCGCGGGTTTGAACCAAGTGGGGGAAGCGAAGGGCGGTAAAATGCTAGATTGCAGAGTGGCGAGCCCACACCTTACAGGGGACGCTCAACCGTAACAGAGTGGATGCATGGATTTTGGAACGAGAAGAGGGCGAGAGAGAGAGAGCGAAAGAAAGCAAAGAGAGAGTACGTGGCTTTCGGATAGGCCTTGCTGGAGCGCGTTGTGGGTTACCGCGAGGCCGCTGTCATCCGCTGTCTCAGAAACAGAATGTAGACAACCTGACTCTGTGGGCTTCTGATAAGGCCGAAAGAATGCTGCTGCAGGGGCAGCTGCTCGGTGCTCCGCGCGCAGCACAGCTAGGAGCTTGGGCGAGCAAGGGGTGAGACAAGTCAGCTCAACTGGTTTTGCCTGAACGCATCAGTCTGCTTGCCAGACTCCCGGACGGTTCCCAGATTTATTCTTGTTGGTATTGGTATATTCTCAGAATGATTGTGAGGACTTGTAGATGAGCTCTGCGAAGCTCAAGAGTTGCACGGGCGGGCAACGCAGCGAGCACTTGACCTGGCTACGACGCCTCCTGCGGCCTACGCTGCTTGCAAGCGACGCCTGGCTGCAGAGGGCTCCGTTTCATTCCGGAAACGGAGGTCGTGGCTCTGATTTCTTATGTCTGGAGCTTGTTTTGCGGCAGCCATGGCCCATTCCATCTCAGGTAGCTTTCGAAATTGGGTCTGCGAGCTCTCGGGGCCACAGAGTGTTGAAGCAAAGGTAAGCGCTGTCCTGCGCGATGAGTGCCAGAATGCTGTCAAGGCACAGCTGGAAAGGCTCCAGAAGAAGGCAGCATGAGGTATTTGAGCGAAATCGAGAACATCAAGTTGGATGAGGCGCACTTCGAGATTGAGCTCTGCAATGGTCTGCAGCTGCCAGGGAAGCCGGCACCGAGTCCCCTGAGGGCCATGCCAGTTCGCCGTTTCCGCGGCCCACGAGCAGCTTGAAATCGCTGGACGCTGCTGAGTCGCGGTGGAAAGAAGCTCCTGGCTGTGCTTGGGCTCAGGAGCAGTAGCAGGATTAGAGTCAGGGTCAAGGGTAATTGATTAACAAAAAAAACCAAGATGGCAGCAGGGCCGTTTGAGATTTGGCGTCTCTCAACATGGCAAGATGCTCATTTCATGTCAAGCTCTTGTCTGCTCAAGCTGTTTTTTTGGAGCAGCTGCCCCTGACGAAGCTGTACAGCAGCCGGGACTCAATCAAGCATGTGTGTGTAGACTATTCGACTATCCGACTGGTGACTGGCTACGTTACGAGCCTTGTCACAAGATCGAGAACCTGCCATCTGTTGTCAGGTTATGGCGTATCTGTGGAATGCGCTGCGGGAGGACTCCCGCCGAAGGTCTGATGATGATGATGGTGATAAACAATGATTATAACTCCTTTTTGCAAGGATTTGGGGAACCGCGCCAAAAGCCAGTTCGGTCGACTTGCGCGCGGATCCCCTGCACTGTGTTTGTATCTAGATGCAGCACCAGGAGATCACGGGCACCATCGACGACTTCCGTGAGAAGGGAGCCTGGGGAGCCCTCAAGGATGCCACGTTGGATGCAGTGGACCTGGTTCAGGATGCAGGCCGGTTCGGTTTTGGTGAAAGTTTGCGGATGCCTGTACCTTAACCTACCATAACCCACTTTTTGTAGGTTCTTATTATAAACCCTAATATGGGATACGGGACCCTACAAAAAAGTAGGTTCTGGTAGGTTAAGGTAGTAACCCTAAACCCTAAACCCTAAACCCTAGTATAGTGAACAGGAGGCGCCCTCGTTAACGGCACCGCACAGCTGCTCTCCCTCGAGCCTTGGCCCTTCCGGTGCCATGAAGTTAGGGTTTAGGGTTTAGGGTTTAGGGTTTAGGGTCTCCTTCTTCAGAAACCTGTGGGAGTTTCCGAACATTAGGGTACCCTATTTTGGGCTCCTTACAATAAGGATCCCGAAAATTAGGGTACCTTATTTTGGGGTCCTTATAATAAGGATCCTATTATTCATATAGGGTACTATATTAGGGTCCCCTATTTTCGGAAAGCCCCATGTGTCTCCCGGATCGACGTGTGTGGGTCTTCTTACCCAGGAGCGGCCCTTGTTGCGCATCGAGCCCGATGGTCGGGCACCGGAATCGGGCGATGAGGCGATATCAAGAGAATTGCACTTTCTGAAATCTGACAAATGCAGTCCGACTCAATAAAGCCTTGCAGGCAGTAGTGGTCGTAGAAGTAGTAGCAGAAGTAGCAGCAGTAGCAGCAGGAGGATGAGTAGTACTAGAAGAAGAAGTAGAAGTAGAAGTAGAAGTAGAAGTAGAAGTAGACGTAGTAGTAGTAGTAGTAGTAGTAGTAGTAGTAGTAGTAGTAGTAACAGCAGCAGCAGCAGCAGCAGCAGCAGCAGCAGCAGCAACAGCAGCAGTAGAAGTAACGTAGACGTGGAAGCGGAGTAGAAAGTAAAAGTAGAAGTCGAAGCTCTTACTGTCGGAGTACTTGTAGTAGCAGGTAGTAGCAGCAGAAGTTGCAGTAGTAGCAGCAGTGGCATGTGTGGCAGAGGGCGATTCTGTTCCGTAGCTGCTCAGTTATGCCAGGAGGATGATTGGTCTACATGCTAAATAAGATCCCGCGCAGTAGCGGGGAGGCCCTTTATATAGATCAAAAGACTAAGTTTGTATGCTGCCGATAAGGTGGCAGGCAAAAATGCTACCGATAACATGTTTGAAAGTCATGGGTTTTGCCAGAAATATTGGTGGCCATTGTGGACTTGAAGGGAATCTGCTCATGCGGCCGGAAGCCTTTCGAACACCATTGTGTTCAAATGAAGGAGGTTTTGCTGATCAAACGTATGCGCCAATGTCTCACAACCCACATTGAACGCACGGAACATCTGGTCTGATAAACCAGCCTCGTGATTTGGGAGTGCACTTGTCGTAGGCATTGCATGGGGTGTCAGGTGCAGATCAGCCTGTCAAACGGCAACTTTGGCATGCATAAATGCATGGCTCTCTTCACCAACGCACCAGTCATGGTTTCAGAACAGTCGGGCTGCCCGCAGGTTGATGGGAATGCACCCGGTCTTAGCATGAAGAGCGGGCCCAGGTCAGCCACCAGTCATGGCCAAAGTTTATGCCGTGGACAGCATCTCCGAGCCTCCGAGAGCGCGTGTGATGCGCATCTCCGGCTTGTTTCGAAGTCTCAAAGGTGGTCGCTCTACTTGGGGCAGGATTTGACTCACTGCCTGACTTCCTTAGGATACGAGCAATAAAAGTAGATGAAAGTAGCCCGGTTTCATCCCCGTAGGCATGTAGCTGGCACCCATGCTACAACTCAAAGGCATGGACACCGGCGAGGAGGTGCTTGTGGATATCGTGCGAGCGCACTCGGAAGTGATCCCAACGCAGCCGGTGTCGTGGGTTGTGGATGAAGTGGGACGGGCAGTGGTGGAAGTTCGGGAGAAAGGCCCCTGCAACGCATGGTGTAGATGTCTGCATGATGCGCGGCTTGAATGTGGCAACCTCCTCGAATCAGAGACAACGAGCAATCCTTTGCAGGTCCGGGTGTCTTGAAGGATGGCGTTCTGGACACGGTGGATATCGTCAAGGCATGAGGGACTTTTTGGGAGCTTTGCTTAAACTTGGAGTAGGGTGGAGAAGTGCCGGCACCACGCAGCGAGGAAGGTGCCACCGTGGCATTGACGGGGGCGCAGCGTTGCATCGCCACGCTGCGAGGTGGGGTTGGACAACCATGGCCTGCAAAAATAGAAGTAGAGGTGAATGCAGATTCCCAGCACTAGCAGTCAGGCGCCACATGCTCCCCGACTAGAGTTCGCGCACTGCCCTGCCCAAGATTGCCTCCAACTTTCCTACAGGGCCGCAGCGCTCATAATGTCTTCCAGAGCTTGAGGTGATGCCGTTTCCGCTGAGCCGCTGGCGCCCTGCAACCCTTCCCTGGAGCCCTTCGGATGCAGTTACAACACTGCGCAAGCTTTGCGGTAGTGTTCGGGACATGAGTGTTACAGGGAGGATATGTGTTTTACTAGATGCATTTGTAATATAATGTATCTAATAATGTATCTGATGAATACGCACACCATGCTGATACAACACAGCAATCAGAACAGGATAAGCGAACGAAAATCTACAGGAGCGAGAGAGAGAGAGAGAGAGAGAGAGAGAGCGCTGGGTGTTTTCACACCCCTGCCCACGAGCCCCACAAACATGGGGGGGCCTAAGCGGCCGGGGGGCTTGACACGCTGACAGTACCCTGTGGAAGAAGAGCTGGGGGTGGCAGTCGCATTTGCGCCCGCGGGGCCCGATATTTTCGTGACAGAGACAGACACAGTCCTCCAAAGCAACTTGAGATTTGTTCGTCGCTGCTTGTATCCTTACGTGGGATCTCTGCAGCGGGGGACGGGTGTCTACATTTGATGGTGTCCCAAAGGTGCATGGCTGTAGTACCGGCTGACCCATGTTGGTTGACTTTAGATTTGGATTTGCTAGCTACGTTGAAGTTAGCCTAGGTACGTAGGACATGAGCCGGGGCGAGTCGTTCTCACAGTCCTTCGAGAAGCCCCTGTAAACTGGGGGGGGCCTACCAGTAGCGGCGGGGGGCTTAAGACGCTCCCTACGCCCTGTGGAAGAAGAAGAAGGGGAGAGAGAGAGAGGGAGACCTTATCACAGATATCACAGTCCCTTCAAAGCCCGGGCCGAGGGACCTGACCAGTCCCTTATGCCCGGGGGAAGAAGAGAGGGAGACCGAGCACCCATGTCTTTTTCCATTCTTTTTCCGACACCCCCACAAAGCCCCACAACAGGGGCCGCGCCATCCGGCGCGGGGAGCCTAACCTGCTCCCTGAACCCCGGAGAAGAAGAAGAGAGAGGGAGTGAGCGAGAGAGGGGGAATCGCGCGTAACGTTCTAGTGAGGGAAGCGTGGCTGCTGGAGGGACTAAGGGTTTGCCTTAGAGGGCGCGGGGATGAGGCCGGGACGCGGGCTAGTGTTCAGGGTTTGCGGGGATCACCAGCAGCCATACTCCACCACACGAACAAGCCGTAGGGCCCACTTCCTTGCATCGACCCCAATGCCTTTTTCTCTGAGAGCCGAATTAGAGAAGGGGGGCGCCTCGGCGCGGGTCTAGTTCGCTAGACCTTTCCCTGCGGAAGAAGAAGAAGCGAGAGAGAGAGGGAGAGATAATGGTCCCTGGCCAAAGAAAGATAGACCATTATGTCACGCTACGGTGTCTTTCATGAAATGGCATATCAGAGCAAGGCAGATGTATGGGGACCAGCAGAGTCCAACGAAGCTGCCCGGGAGCGTTCCTCTCCCAAAGACGCCCGCTGAGCCAATGCCCATCCTGTTGTCGCCTCGCCACTTGGACGTTTAGGGTTTGAGGCTGTCGGTGGTGGTAGTCGCAAGCGCGAGACAACACACGCTTCTGATCATATTTTGTGAAACGGCCTAGGAGATGACGGGGCGCAAGCAGGAAAGACTGAGGCTGCGGTACCGGCCAGGCCGGATGCAGATGATTGGTACAACGATGACAAAGCTGAGGAGGTCATAGATTGACCTCTATGACCTCCCGATGTGCCAGTGCCAAATTCGAAATCTGCCTTTGCTCTTGCATGGGCGGTCGGGTGCCATCGTTCCACACTGACAACACACCCCTTACTGTAGCACTGTAGCAAGTTTATCGAAATTTCTCTGCCATGGACTGTGCCGTTTCACGAGGTGCCTGCTCTGCCGAATACTTTGAAATGCAGAGCAATTTTCCAAAGTGTGCTCACAACTTCCGAGCAATGGACGCTGCGCGTGCTTGATGTCGTTTCGGTCGTTCTGCCCAATGGAAGCGGGGAAGAGAGGGAGTCTTTTGATGTACCGGCTGAGACTTCAGCGCGCAGCGCCTTGCATGGAATTTTCGAGTAATCTCTCGTGAGTTGCGCCAGCAACTCTCTGTATTTGCGTGGTGCTGCGTCCGATGGTTTCACTTGTCTTGGGATGACTGATGTGTTTTTCGGGCCAGATCCTGGTCCCCAGAAGGCAGCGCCACTGCATCTTCCGCACGGCTTGATGCTGCGGAGCTCAGGCTGTGCTTGGACACCAGCTGGACGTCACCTTTGCAAAACACCTGCGGTTGTGTCTGCTTTAGGTGTTTTGGCAGAATCCGAATCTACATCACGATCTTGGATTGGCGGAGTCGTCGTACTCCTCGGGGTGAGTGCAGCAGTGAGCAGCATACATCACCGGCAGCGGCTGATTCCTGTAGCTGGTCTCTCACTTCTCTGGAGTGTAAATGAAGTGACCGATTTCATGCATCGCTCTGACTATGACTGCTATGTATTGAATTGCTGTTATCTGTATGGCTTTTTGAGGTGCTCCCATCTACTGACACTGGCACCACTGCGCAGTCTGCAGCCATCTACGTACTCGAAGGCTTGAAGGTGTTTTTTCATAAGGTGGGCATCCCGAAAGTTAAAGCGACTCAGAGTACTGAGAGGTACACGTACAGGTCGCCCTCCTCCTGGGGCCTGGCTCTCTCGGATGGGCCGGTGAGAGATAGGAAGGTTGCGCGAGTTGCAGCATGAGATGACGAGAAGCTGATCTTGGAAGGAAGTGGGAAGAGCGATAGATAGTTACGCTGATGCTGTTGCTGCTACTCCTGCGGTTCTGCTGCTGCTGCCACCACCAGCACCACCAGCACCACCAGCACCACCACCACCACCACCGCCACCACCGCCACCGCCGCCACCGCCGCCACCACCGCCACTACCACTGCCCCGACCGCGACCACGACCACGACCACCACGACGACGACGACGACGACTACAACATCAACAACAACAACTACTACTGCTACTACGACTACTACGACTGCTATTACTACGACCACGACCGCAACTGCTGCCCCTGCCACTGCCCCTGCCCCTGCCACCACCACCACCACCCCTGCCACCACCACCACCACCACCACCACCACCACCACCACCACCACCACCACCACCACCACCTGGCTTTTGTTGTGTTGAGGCAAAATCATTGGACTCTGCAAGCTTAGTCGCCGACTGACTACCCCGCGGAGCTGTCATAGGCGTGCCAGGTCGGTGACAAAAACCACCACCACGACGACGACGACGAGTACTGCTAGCACTGTCCTTGCTGCGACTACTGCTGGGATGATGGCAAGTTCATAGTCGAAGTAGAAGTCAAAGTCAGCAGCGGTCTAGCGTCTTGCAGTTCATGTTGTAGGATGCAAAATCAAGCACGAGTCACCAGTGCATAAGTACAGCAAGAAACAAGATAGCGAATAAGTATGGGGCGTAGATACGGTGTGTAATTATTCCGGCCTGCCGACCCCCGGCTCAAAAGGAGCCTGGAAGCACAGCGTGGAGCCCGTGTACAAACTCGCACGGGCTTGGTTCCTGCCAGACCCTGGGTAGCCAACTCGTTCCGCGATACTGCTTCCCTGGTCCATACTAGCCATTGACGGGGATGTTGCTAAGCAAAGCCCAGGGGAGCAGCGATTGATCCGCTGCTTCAGTGCTACAGAAGAGTACCTTCTTGGATAAACAAAGCGCTCGAAGATGGTACAAAATTCTCCTGAGTGCGATGTGGTTTGTGTCGGCTTGGAGCTAGGAGACCATTGGCATTTACCTGACTTCCGCTCGCAACTGCACGAGGCTGGCACCCGCCGACGGATTCCGACGAAGATCCGGAGGAGGCATCCGTCGATCTCGGCTTGAAGTCGATCATGGCTACGGCTCAAGCTAGTGGGCACAGCAACCCGGATAAGTATTGGTGCTTCGCCCTAGAATGAGAGACGTTAGAACCGGGAGCGAGGTGCGTGCCAGTCGTCTACAGTGTGCTTCTGCCTTTCGATCAGCTCGCTAGCATCGTGCTTTACCGATCAGCTGTGCACATGAATGTCTCAATCTGACCGTTGCTCATGCTACCTGCCCAGACACGCCTCGCCCGGAGAGATCGAGTTGCGAGAGTCCAAACCTGGTCACTACTCAAACATCTCGCCGGCCTGGGTGTGAGATCAAACCTGAAAATCTAATGCTTTGAGCAAAGCTGCTAGCGGCTCTGATCCCGTTTTTTGCCAGGTGCGGCGGAGGCATGAGCCCGACGAGGATGGCAAGTTCTGGGACCGCTGCCCAGCTTAGACACACCATACGTGCGTGCACTTGAGACCATCGTAACTTCGTATTACATTACATGTTCTGCTAGAGCATAACCGAACATAGGATGACACCGAGCACAACGTCGCAGGCTAGAGTCGTTTTACGTCGTAGATCGAAATAGACCATGGTAGGTGGAGCAAAGCATAGATACTGCAGCATCTTCCAGCAGACAGCAACGCATTACCGGGGAAGATGCAGTGCGTAGTGACACAGTGGAACGAAATATGATGCACATGCTCTGGTACACTATCATGTTTTTCAAAATCGTCGTATAGTAGTATAGATTCGTATAGTGTCACCTGACTGAATATCTGACAGTCTATGTATCCTGCAGTGGTTTAGACGGTCAGGCTCGCGCACGCTTTTTTTCTGCATTGCAGCCGGCTCGGTAGTACACTTTCTGGCTCAAGTTGCCTTGCAAAGTAAACTCACCGCTGCCCGAAGATGCAGGACCGACGCACAGAAGTCCGCAAGTATGAGGGAACGCGGGAGAGCATGGGAGAGATGCCCACCTGTTCTTGACAGGCCCCCACGGAGCACCGATGGAGCCCATATGCTGACAACGGAGGAACGTGCATGGGAGTTGCAGGCCGCTATTGTCATGCGTTTGTGTAGTCGGTTTCGTCACCCTCGACCTTCAAACTTTGTGTCATGTTGATCCACTGGAGGTGAAGACTTCGTGGTGGTGGCAGCTGACACCCGTCTCAGCCAAGGATACAGCATCCACACACGGGACTGCAGCAAAGTCACGCAGCTGACGGACAAGTGCGTCATCGCGTCCTGCGGCATGAAGGCTGATGCCATCACCCTCCACAAGCACTTGAAGGCGCGTATGGTGCGAGCCTGAGTCGAACTTAGCCATCGGTTCTGCTGAGCATGCTTGCCGGTAGCAGATTGCACACCGACTTCACACAGCTCATTTCCACGACATGAACTGGCCTTGCTTGGCTGCCCAGGTGATGTATGAGCATCAGCACCGCAAGCAGCCATCGGTCACAGCGATTGCCCAGATGCTCGCAACAACGTTGTACTACAAGCGCTTCTTCCCGTACTACACCTTCAACGTTCTTTGCGGCATCGATGATGAAGGTAAAGGGGCGGTGTATCACTATGATGCCATTGGTAGCTTCGAGCGCGTCCCTTATACCACAAGTGGTAGCGGAAGTTCCTTGGTGATGAGTGTGCTGGACGCGCAGATTGCAAAGGGGAATCAGACAATCGACACGCCTGCCCTGGACAAGAGAGGCATTGTAGAACTATGCAAAGACGTCCTTTCTTCAGTTGGGGAGCGTGACATCCACACAGGTGACTATGGCGAGATCTTCTTGATTGATGCGGCGGGCGTTTCCCCTACACGTTTCGACCTGAAGCTGGACTGAGAGGAATCCTTGCATTGTTTGCTCGGCTGTGAGTAGATTTTGTCCTCAAACCAATGTGCTAAGCTTCCCATGCGATAAGACAGTTCACCGTATCTCATTTTGACTCAGTCCTTGTTGCATTGTTTGCCTGACACCTTCAGTTTCATGAGATCGGATTCGAAAAATTCGTGGATGCCAGGTTGGAGACTTCAAGGCCCTGCACAGGACCCTGTTTACACCGTAGGCCACAGAGACTGCACTTGCCATGGCGCAGAAAGCACCTTTGTGTAGTCCATAGCCATCGTCGCCCTTCTTTCTGGTAACATAGTGACCTCTACAGTAACCCTTATCTTACCCAGATACCCTTAGAGAATCCCCTTGAAGAGATGCCTGCTGGAGTCTCATTCCTATAGAGCCAGTTGACCGGGACCTCCCAGCACAGGGTTGCCATTCAGCCATGGAGGGAAAAAGAGTGAGCCGGTCTCCATGCAGCTTCTGCGCGCTTCCAGACTGAATCATGTCCGCTGAGCGCGGCACAAAGGTTGACGGAGGTCTTGTTGTGCAGGGCAGTGGCTCCAGATAAGCTTTGCTGACCGGCCAGTGTAGTTTACAGTATACCTGCTTTGCCAATCTGCAGGCGGTGACATGCTACATCCGTGACCAGACTGCTACGTACGCATGGCCTCACACATCGTCGCATCTTCTTTTCTTGTATGAAGGGACAGAAAACATGTCTTGCTGGCATGGCCGTCAAAAACAATGTCCCAGCAGGTCTTGGCAGTCATAAATATAGCGGTCCGAGCAGGTGTCTTAAGAATCCTGTGCGCAATGACCCGAAACGGGGGCCCAGCCCACAGGCGATGGGGAACCGTGTGTTTTGCAGTGATGCAGTCTGCCCGAAATCGAGCTTGCATCCTGGCGTGGAAAGCGAACTCTTCGACGATAGCTCCACGTGCGATCCTGCCGGGGCTGTCTTCACGGAGACCTTGGAGGAGCTGAACGAGATCGATCGCTTCTTGCTCCTCTTCTCCAGCAGTCGCAACTTAGCGGGTGTCAGATGGCTGTCTTTGCTTGGGGCCAATCCGGATGCTTGCGACACCAACGGCACAACATGCTTGCATGCAGCCTGTCGGAGTGGCTCGCTTGCGGTGATCAAAGAGATTTTGAAGCAAAGAAAGCTCTCCCTTGATGCGACCGATGCGTCCGGATGGTCCCCGATGCATGTGGCACTGTTTATGGGCAGACGACAAGTCTGTGTCCTCCTGATGCAGAAAGGTTGCGATCCCTTGCTGCGAACCCACCGAGGTCAGACTCCCGTAGAGCTGGTGAGTGACGTCTGGCTTCGTGAGGCCATGCAGAGCTACACAGAATATCGAGAGCTGCAGTTGAAGCAGCCCTGGCGACCCCCTCCGTCCTTGCAGCCTGGGCTACGAGACGAGGTCTCATCAAGGCTACGCTTTGAGCCTTTCTTCGTGCCACGGACACCCGTCTTCAAAGACGTTGCGTCCCAAGAGCTGCAGAAGCTGGCTCGGAAGATCTTCAACACCCGACCGGGCCAGGGGCTCGCGTTCCTCGTCGCCACCGGATGCATCCGAGATTTTCCCGTGGAGCTCAGCATGTTCTTCTCCCAGCCTGGAATTTCCACTGAACAGGTCGGCCAATTCTTGGGCGAGGACTTCTCGCTGTCCCAGACGCTTCGCCTGGAGTTTGTGAACTCCTTGCGATTGCTCGGCACAGGTGTGGTCTCCTGCCTGGCCAAGGTCTTCAAGGCTTTCGTGATGCCAACGGAATTGCTCAAGATCGACCGGCTGGTGGATGGTATTGCGCAGATTTGGTGGCGGCAGCACGAGCAGTTAGCCAAGAAAGAGGGAGAGACAGTGTGTCGGGGAGGAGTTGGAGAGGATGGTGCGGAGGTCCAAGGCCTGGAACTTATGCATGTGGCTGGCTCCTATGATGTGCTCCACCAGCTGATGTTCTCAACTGTGCTGTTGCACTGGAATCTCTATGCCCCTCTACCGCGTTCCCAGCGCGTGACGACCGAGCAGTGGTTGCAGATAGGGTCTGGCATCTCACCCGAGCTGGAAGAGTCTGGAGACAGAAAGAGCAGGCTCTCAGCCATGACACGTATCCAGAGCTTGATCTACAATGTCGGGGCCCCAGCCGAAAATTGTCACTTGTCCAGAGCGCAGACGAACTGGTCCTTCGAAGACGAGTGAGTTTTACGAGGTCGTCGCTCACAACTTTTATCCCCAGTTGGAGATGTGGAAAGTCCGCGTTCCAACAGACCCTGGCCAGGCCTTCATGATCGACATAAAGCTTTTGCTTGCATTGCCACGAAGCCCGAGTCATGGTTGCTCGCTGTGCTTCAGGTGGCTTCCGAAGGGCAGCTGGAGGTGTTTGCACGCCTTGTGGCGGGTGGGTTTCCATCGCTGGCGCTGGCCGGAGCTCACAGGCGTCAACCTGTTCCAGTGCATGGACTTCAGTCTGAAACCTTCCTTTTGCAAGAGTGCCCGGTTCCTTTCTTATCCTTCTGTGCAGGGTGGTGTCGTATCGCCACATTCGCAGCATCCACAGCGAGAGTACTTCCATGCCGTTGCCGGCGGTGCCAAGTCGTGCGGCCAGTCGCACCAACAGCCGCGATGAAGGTTTGCACCTGAGTCTCTTCTCGTCCGGCAAGGCTTTGCAGAGTCGAAGCACTTTCTCTTGCCGCCGGCTTTTGGAAGACCCATGTTGGCCCATGTTGCCAATCCGAGGCCTGCTGCTCACGACATCAAAGTCCGCACCTGCTGGATTCCGGGGTTTGCGGCGCGCACTGTCGGTCGACGAAGACACGCCGCGAGGCAGGGGCATCCCGCTGCAGTCACAATGAGCCAGCCTCCGAAGTCTGAAGGCTACCAAGAGTCGCCGATCAGCGTGGATCCAGGATTTGGAAGTCTGGACAAGGCGCCGGCCTGGCCTCCTGTGACGGGACCGAATTCCGAGATTCCCAGGCTTTCCTGACCCTCTGCGAGTCCTTCCTGTTCCTTTCCGCTTCGAACCACCCCTGGGCGCCGTGACCCGGCCGAGCTCTTGCCTTGCGGGCTGTGCTGCCTCGGTGACATGTCGATCTTGTGGCACGCGCAAAGCGGTACCAGCGAACCGGTGGAAGTCAGTGGCGTGTTTTCGCGTTTGCGGTCTAGGGCTCGGGTCAGTCCTCCGGTCTGAGGTACGCATGCATGAACGTCAAAGGCCTCGTCGTAGCGAGCCCAGTGGGCAAGTGCAGACATTCATACCGCTCTGCACCTATGAGTCTTCTTTGTCTCTGAGGTGGCCGTTGACAGCATGTCTCTTTTGTTGACACTGCTGCCGGCACCAGTGCCACCAATCAACACGCAAGTGCAGGCAGCAGGGCGAACGACACACGACCTCCGTGCCTCAAAGCATGCATGCATTGACTCCTTGTTGGAGGGTGCGCGACTTCCGACTCGACGGCTCTCCTTCATGCTGAGATGCTGTGTCATGCTGTGTTACGTTACTAGTGCTCGTAACCTTTATGTATTTTCTGGTCAGGCTAATTTTGTCATGTTATGTGGGACCAGCAACATGCTTCATGTTGTATCTGTGAAACAATCTGATAGGATTATACACACACACACATATATATATATATATATATATAAATAGAGATAGATATATGAGACGCAGCCATCCCACGTGCATTGGCAGGCGGAGACCGTGAAGAGCCCTATCAGCTTTTCACTACCGAGTCCGACAAGCCCCCCCAGGCGTGCAACTGCAATTTTGGGCTTGCCTTGTTGTCACCGCAAGCATAGCATGAAAACAGATCCCAATGCGGTCGGAGTCGAAACCGTTTCGGGTTCAACTTCGCTATGCAGCTGCATGTCTCTCCGTGCTGATAAGCTGAATTTGGAGACCCATGCTTATTAGTCACAGGCAGAAAAGCCATGATTGGCACCTCCACAGGAACACAAGATTTCGGAACCTTCGAATTGCACGTTTGCAGGCCAGAACTTGGAGGTATCGTATCCTGATAGTCTGGTGGGATCTAGTGAGGCTTGCACCTGCCCTCTGATTTCTTCCGGAAGGCTGTCTCTGGTCTTCCTGCTGCCCGATGGCCGATGGCAGGTGCTCGAGCTGCCCCGGTTCCAGGCTCACCCCCCAGACTCCGAGCAGGGCTGTGCGTCTTCTGATACCATTCCGAACTAAGCGGAGGTCTCATCGTCATGGAGGGTCCTGGGGTCATGGCGAAGTCGAAAATGCGTGGCCCAAAAAAATGGGCAACTCCAGGTCCAGCTGCCGGATACACAGCAGCTGGAGCGCTGGCGGGACGCCTTGGCAAAGCTCTGCCGCTGGGATGAGCTGGGGAGAGCTGAGAGCAGCCGAGAGCTGGAGGGTGTCTGTGCTCTGTCTGTAATCGCATGAAATCACATGAAGTGGCCTTGCAGGCTCGGAGTGCATAACTCCGGACATGCGGATGGCCCAGCGAGCTCCAGGGTCGCCAGATGCCAAAGAAGGGTCCTAGGTCCTAAGTGTCGCTGAAAGTTTGCTCGGGAAAGTCCAGGCAATGGAAAGCTTTCGAGACACGTGGATATTTGTACAGATGCCGCGGAATTCATTATTGTATGACTCGGCTCGGAGCTGCAGGGCATGGATCTGACCTGAATCACAGTTTTAGCAAATCCTGCCCGGTCATACCGAATCAACCCTGTTTCACCCATCGCAGCATGCGCGTAGCGATCAGCAAGCGCAGTGAAGGTGCCCAATTTAGTGGCACCCAAGGGCAGGCTTACTGGCTTCAAAAAAGTCCTGTGCTTCTGCAGCCAGTTCAGGACTTGGGGGCTGAGAGAGCCCGGAGTTTTTCGTGTACTTTATGCTCCTTTGCTACAGTTGATGGCACAGAATATTGCCGAGGATGACCCACTTTGGTATGGGAAGACGTCGTGCTGGCCTGTTCAATCCCAGCCTCGCGAAACCCTTGTCGCAGTGACTTCGGGGGACTTTCTCGGAAAGCTCGCCGCCAAGACTTATCTCAGACGCATACAGGAAGAAGGAGATCGAGTATGCGACGGAACTCGAGAAGTCAAACGGCAACGCCGCCAGCCGTGAAGGGGCGCGCCTCTTAATCTTCGGTTCAGGGCCGCAGAAGCTCTCGTGTTACAGCTCGGGTACACAGCCACACTATAGATATACAATGATATACAGATATATAGGTATATAGCCAGTTCTAGATATATATATATATATATATGTTTTGACATATAGACATATAGGTATCTAGAGATCACTAGGTGGCTGGCATTGTCAAGGGAGCCTTGCTGCTCAGGACTGGAAGAAAGCCAACAGGCTTTGCAAGGGTTCCTGTTCTTTGCACAGTTGCCGAAGGCTGCTAGAAAATGAGAGGGGACGCTGAATCAGCCGATGTTTGAGCGACGGATTCGCGTAATTAACAGATAAGCAGGCAGTGTGCATGTCCACAATGGACAAAAAACACGCCACTGGCACCAGGTATTGGAAGAACGCCCTCAAAGGTGCAGAGAAGCTTCAGGAGTTTCCTGCGCCTGATGCTTTGGAGTGATAGAGGGGCGCATTTCTGTTTGTGCGGCAGGATCGCAAGCCTTACTACTGCTGATGCAGCAACAACAACTTACTACTGCTGCTGCAGCTGTTGCTGCTGCTACTACAACTCACAATCACTATCACTACCTACTACCACTACCAACCGGAGCTTCGAAGCAAATCTACCACTACCGATACCACCACCAACGGACCAACCCAGCCCGAACGCAGAACTTCCGCACGGCGACTGCCATAACCACTACGTACCAGCGCTGCTGCTGCCTGCTGCTACTACTACTACTACTACTATACTACTGCTGCTACTGCTACTACTACTGCTACTACTACTACTACTACAACAACAACAACAACTACTACTACTACTACTACTACTACTACTACGTTGACGTGCCAAGTGGGTGACAAA